CTAAATTAAAGATCCGACTTTACGTGTAGTGTTTTTCACCTTAGCTTCTTTAATTCATAATCGATACCTTATTTGTTGTTATTGTGTACCGAAGCCTCAACCATGACCAACTTCGGCAAGGTACGAAAGTTTCAATATCTAAAAACATTTTCATCGCAACACTTTAGTTGATGCGATTTTTAATGATTTTGTATTTTTTATAATAAAGATAGTAGTCATTAGTTTCACGTAGAAAGTTTTAATTTATTAATACAAAAGCTAAAAATGTAAGAAAAATAAATTAATTAAAAAAATAATGTATAAATACATTAAATAATGAATTTAAAGAATTAGTGTGTAAACGTAATTATTGTCAAATGATTGTGAAACCGACACATGTCAATTATGGTGTGAACACATTTATTACAATGGTTCTCTTTTACTATATAAGGGATATATTGATAATTAAAAATTTAGTAACTATTACCTATATAATTAAATTGGTGTAAACATATAAATATTTTTTATTAATTTAAACTGATTTTTTTTTATTTTATATGATATACAATTAAGTTTAAATGTATTATAGTAGAAATATAATACATTTTAATATTGATCTCGGTTAAATTATAGTTTATACTCATATTATTTTTTTTGTTCACTCTTATATTTTTATTACAAAAAAATTTTTGTGTGGGATGTTTATCATTTTTTATTAATTTATAATTTTAAAACATTATGCAAAGTTTAAAACTAAATATTAAGTTGTCAATATTTGTTCAAAAGTTTTATCAAAAAAAATCAAAGCAAAGTAGAATTAAGATACATATATATTTTTATATGGTACATAATTTATTTTGAACAATATATATATATTAAATGAGACTTTTTACTTATATAATTTTTTAATCATTTATATTTTCTATAAAGTTTAACCATGGATCACAAAATTTTAATGTGAGAATTTTTAACAACTTTAGTCATTTATTGTCGTTTTAAAAAATTCAAAGTATAGCAAATACGAAAAAATCTAAATTTTTATTATATAGTTAATGTAGTTGTTTATTTTTTTTAATAAGTTCAAATTTTAAAGTTACACTAATTTTTATCAAATCTTTATTATTAAAAATCATTAATTGTCATATATTCTTTAACCATATTTGGCAATTCCGTTACTTTTATTTAAGAAAACAATAAAAAAAGTATTTTTTATATCATATATAATTAAGTTTAAATGATATTATCGTAGAAATATAATACATTTTTAATATTTATATTCGTTAAATTATAGTTTATACTCATATTATTTTTTTGTTCATTTTTATATTTTTACAATAAAAATTTTAAATCACTGATAACAAATTTTTTGTGTGGGATGTTTACCATTTTTTAGTAATTTATAATTTTTTTTTTAAAATATGCAAAGTTTAAAACTAAATATTAAGTTTTCAATATTTTATTCAAAATTTTTATCAAAAAAAATCAAAGCACATTAGAAATTAAAATACATATATATATATATATATATATTTATGGTACATAATTTATTTTGAACAATATATATATATATATATATATATATATTAAATGAGACATTTTTACTTATATAATTTTGTAATCATTCTATTTTGTTATAAAAATTTAACCATGGATCACAAAAATTTTAGTGAGACTTTTTAACAACTTTAGTCATTTATAGTCATTTAAAAAAATTCAAAGTATAGCATATACGAAAAAATAAAATTTTTATTATATAGTTAATGTGGTTGTTTAATTTATTTTAATAAGTTAAAACTTAAAAGTACACTAATTTTATCAAATCTTTATTATTGAAAATCATTAAATGTCATATATTCTTTAATCATATTTGGCAATTCCGTTATTTTTTATTTAAGGAAATAAGGAAAAAAATTAATAAGTCATTTATGATTAGTTTAATAAAAAGCTTATTATATATTTAGATAGACCAACATATTTTTCTAAGGATTCTAAGAATAATTGTGGTGATGACACGTGGCTACAAAACAATGTTGTAATGCTTCTCCTTTAATATATAGGGGATGTTTTGGTATCTACGTGTGTCCTGAACGTTTCTCAAATTTAATAGAAAAAATATTGATTCATATAAACATATAATATACTTTTTATTAAGATAACCATAAAATTATTATTAATGTTAATTATTATTTCCTTAAATAAAATTTATGAAATTACCTATTATGGTTATATATATATATATATATATATATATATATATATGACAATTAATGATTTGAATATGAAAGATTTGATAAAAAAATTGTATAGTCTCTACTTTTTTTGTTAAATTTATATTGTGAAAATAAATTAAATAGTAACATTAAATATATTACAAAAATATATTTTTTATATGTGCTATATTTTGAATTTTTAAAAACGACTATAAATTAAAAAAATAATTAAAATTTCACATATAATAATTTGATTAATAGTTTAAATTTTTCGTTATAGCAAGATACAAACAATTATATAATTAATGAGTAAGAAATATTATTTAATAGATATTTGAACTAGATGTATATATATATTAGTGATGTTTAAATTAAACTAAATATCATTTAAAAATACATAAAGATTTAATTCCCAAATTGCAGCGAACAAGTATTGAGAACTTAATACTTTAATGACAAATTTTGAATTTAATTTTTTTTAAATGATGATCAATTGCTGTAAATATCAATTTTCTCATATTAAAATGGGGTTATCAATATTTTAAAATTTTTATTTTGAAAATATACAAATGATCATAAAACCATTTAACAGTGAAGTTTCATTTATTAGATATCTAAAATTAAAAATATAATATATATATGTTAATATCATTTATTAATTACATTTATTTATGTAAAGGGATTGTAAATAAATAAATATAATTATTTAATTTAAGTGTTCGCTAAATAATTATATATATAATAATTATAGCTTTTTCAATTATTCAATATATATATTTTTATTTTATAATATATATAAACACACAAAATAAAGAATAACACATAAATGTTAAACGACTAAACGCAGTAGTTACTGTAAAGTGTAAACTGTTTGCTTTAGATCGAACTTTAAGACCCGGTTTAGTTTCTTCAACACCGACCGGTTTATTCATTAAGCTGAGTAGTGAGATTAGTCAATATTTGATGAATGATGAGCTGGGGTGTTCTGGGTATTATGGAAATTAACAAGAGAACATGGAGAATCATTGGAGCGCCAGGCTGCCACCAAGTGGAAATGTTCATGTAAAAGCAAGAAGACAGAAACATTATTTAATTCTTTGTTTTTTTTGTTTGTCAACTATATCTATTTAATCCAACCTATATAGTAAACTAAATTACCATCTACGAGAATTTAAGTTTATCTACATCTGTATTGAAACAATAACAAGTAATGAACTAAAAACATCATCTGCTTCTGGGATTTAACAGCGAATTTGATACAATCCGCAAAGTTAGACATGTATTTTATATCTAACTGTACATTTTCCTGAAAACCATGCTCATTTTACAGAAAATAACTGGATAAATAAAACACTTAGTATTAACTAATAATAATAAACGTATGTGACAATCGTAAATATGCAAATATGCTTCGGACCATAATATTCGGTTCAACAAAAGAGCTTGCCTCTCATCTTTTGGTGTAGCCACTAGCCAGAGACAAAGCACGTGAAACAAGCACGTTATGAAAAAGAAATCGGATAAATAATACAATTGGGTTACTAGTTTATTAGGCTGTCAAAGATTAGTAAATTGGACTGTCTCTCCCATTATCCGTATTCTATACATTTTACATAATAACTATTTGTGTATGGATATGAATGTTATAGATCTAAGAAACGCAGAATGCAGTTACAGATAATAATATAAACTATATGCAACTCGACCTTGTTACTCTAGACTAGATATGTCTATACCATAACAGACTATTAAAATCATAATACAACAGTATACTAAGGTACACTGTTGAGAGAGTTATGTAAGGTAAAAAATCATTATCCGTATTCTATACATTATAGGTACACAGTATACTAAGGTAAAAAAAAAAAAAAAAAAAAAAACAGTATACTAAGGTAATGAGTTATGTTGAGAGATAGTTTTGAAACAAATTAATATGTATGCTCTCAGGTCTGTTTCTTACCCATGATCAAAAGAACGTGGACTATGAATCCAATTTTTTTTTTTTTGCATAAATAGTAAAAAAAAAACTTATTTTTTTTAAACTCAATTTTCAAGAAAAAAATGGTCTAATTTTAAGGAAAAAGATCTAATTTTCATAGTAAAATATAAATGGTCCATTTTTTATTAAAAATATATGAAGATGCTCTACATTTTTTTTTAAAAAAATAATATAAGTATATGTAAAAAAACAAAAATTTGCCATGGAGCAAAATATTTTTGAGCCGAGTCTGTATGCTCTCGTCACTAGCTATATTACTCTCTTAACATTTATACGTTACTTGTGTGGGAATTAATTTATTTGAATGACTATATTAGGTAGGGAACTCCGATATTTTATGTAATCCTTGTATGAATTTCCTATTTGCCACAATGGTTTCTCCTATGTTTCATCTTATATTATTAGTAGGCTTATGAGGACATCTGTACATGCATATCGGTTGTAATAAAGAAGTCAAAGCTTACAAAGACATAGTTATATTTAATATGCAATCACGATATTACACAACGACAGTTTGGCCGAGTGGTCTACAGCGCCAGATTTAAACTCTGGTCCGCAATGGCGGGGTTCAAAGATCACTGTTGTCAATTTATTATTCTTTCGCAATGTGAACCCTCTAGGTCGTCAAGAAGGTTAAAACCGCTTAATTTTGAACAAAACAATGGGATGTTCACGGAAAAAGCGAACACGTATGAGGCCATAACTGTCTTTTGAATCTTGACCATCCCCATCTGTTCAAAACCATTCCCTTGTCTCCCAAGAAACCATTCCTTCCTCAGTCTCTCTCTCTGATCAAACATTTCCACGTACAGAGCAAAAGGATGAAGAGTCGGAGCAGAAATTTAGCCACCCTGAGTTTGATGATAATTACGTTTTTTTTCAGTGACGAAGATTGTTGCTGGACAAGAAGCACTTTTAGGCAAGAAAGTATTGCCGTTGTGCCACAGAGAATGTATGCCAATATGTATGAAAGTGACAGAAGCAACACAAGAGATTTGTGAGGGGGCATGCCAAGCGGGTTGTGTCCAGCTTCAGGGTAGAGGCACCGGACTTTCAGCCACCGATCAAGGAGTCGATATGGTCATTGCTTAGAAAAGTATTTAGCATCTTAATCACTGGCAATTTATTTTAATATTTTTAATCAAATTTTAAATTCATTTATTAATTTTCTATGTAGAAAGTAAATATTGTTTGGAATAGTTTTATAATTTAATTTTAGAACTGTGATTTCAAATATAATGATTTCTTTTATCCAATTGCTTGATTTTGGTTATATTAAGTTGTTTAAGCCATTTTTTTTCTAAATAAACTAAACTCAAACTATGTTTTTCAATGCATGGTCACGTTTCATATTTTTCTAATGGAACTAAGTCGATAATTTATTATTAATTTATCGATCAGTAAGAAGTTAAAAACATAATAACAACAGATTACTGTTGTAGTATATATATATCTCAAAATTTTTAAAAATAAACTCACTATTTTGCATTAACATGCCAACTTGTGATGAACCTGGACTTCTTTTATATAGAATATAATGTTATACATATAAAATGTGATACATTTTAGACTGCTCTTAATAAATACGTGATGTACTTCAGTTTCATCACTTTGTAATGTTTGTTGTCGTCTTTGTTTCATATTTTATTAGTTGAACACGTTTTGTAGTTTTAGTTCCATTGTTCATTTTAGAAGTTACCCACTGGAGGAATTATGCTATTTGGAGTTACTCACTAAATAAATTAAACTATTTGGATGCAAAGCGATGCACATGAAAGACGATATACGCTTCATAAGTTTTTTTTTTTTTTTTTTTTTT